CCCTCATGTTAGCGGCTTAGTCTTCTTCTCTTCCTCTCTCCCTTCTTCCATCTCTTTCCCATATTTCACCAAACCTAAGGCAATGGCTAATGGGGAAAAGGGTAGCAAGCGCCAGCCAACGGGAGAGGAGATGGGCGACGACGGCACGGAGCTCTCGAGCGGTCACCTCGACTCCTCTCTCCCAATAAAGTGCCAGTTAGAATAGAGAGGAGTCGAGGCGGCTGCTCGTGCTCGCAGTGACAACACCGCCATCCAATTCCTCTCCTAGCAACCATCGCCATTCTTCGTACCACCCGACATCCTGCTGAGAGAGAGAGAAAAGAGGGAATGGTTGATAGGTGGAAGAAGACTAGGTTGTTAATGTGTGGGGCCCACGTTGATTTTGCCGGGTTGCTAAAACTAGGCACAATACAGTCATGCGACCTTAGGTACTCCGATATTGCAAATCGAAGGGACACACTATATCTAGTATTATGGTTCAATGACACGATTCAAATTCGATGTCAAGATGAGAGATCTAAAGTGAACTTATTTCAATCCACGGTACAACATTATGCGCCCCCTCCATCGATCTGGTAAGACATTATTACGTTTTGAATTATATATACTCCATTTTGGGAATATTTGAAACCTCAGTTATCATTATCTCTTAGAATCCCTCATAATAGTTTTTGGAAAATCATATCCGTCATAATCTTATAAACTTGTTTTTCAATATCAAATAATACTGATTACATTCATAACTCGAAGACCATAAAAAATGTCAAATGCCAAGTACTTTTTATTGCTTAGAGAGAGAGAGAGAGGGGTACTTTTTACTAGGAAGAGAGTACTAACGTTGTGATGCATGCGTTGACCCTATGTGTATGTACTGTACATTAATTATATCGATCGATCGATCTAGTTGGCTATTATGTCTACTATACTGTCTTTACTTGTAACACTACTCCGGACTACTGTTTTGCACGCACCACCCAACAATATATATATGTAGCTAGGAAGCAGGAATGGTCCAGCTCGCTAAGGCCAACAAACCCCATGCGTGTATATGCTATGCAAGCTGACTCTAGATGAGATACGGATCCAGAAAATAATAGCAGGGTTTTAAATAAAATAAATAAAATTATGACCCTTCCTTTGCTTGTATATATATGAAAAAAAAATTATTAGTGATGACTCACATGATCCTATAATTATCCGTAGTAGAGGCTCGAGCCCTCATCGTTCTCGTCGTGTTAGATCCGCCGATATCTCGATCCATCTTAATTTAATTTAACCCTGTCCTTCAAAATGAAAATATCAATAGCTTGTAGTGCTTTGACTTTGCTGTTGATCGACTGAGATCGATCGGTTGGTCAGTATACGTATACATGCATGCAGGTGACCTGATCTCTTGGTTAACTTAATTATATATTATTACCAATGGTGTATTCCCTCTGTCCAAAAAAAATTTAACTTCAGATTAAATTTTGTTCTACAGAAAATCAACTTTTACCATACTGCCTACCCTCAGCACGTAAAGCAGAAAATTTTATCTCTTCAATATATACCTTTTACCTACCCATCACTATTACTGTTTTTTTAATGATTAAGGGTATTTTAGTTATTCTCCATCTTCACTAATTTTATCTTAGAATGTAAGAAATGAATTTTTTTCGAGAAAGATGGAGTATACGAAGTAGTAGATCGATGAAGATGCATGAGTACTAGCTAGTGTCGACTCGATCTGACTCAAGAGTCAAGATGAATGGATGGATCACAGATCAGTCCCGGCCAATGCACACGACAAATTAAGCTAAATATGCATGCTACTGCGCGCCTAGTAACATGCAAACGCGAGGTAATCGATCGAATGGAGGCGAGTACATGCATGCAGAGGCAGGGTCGCCAGCCATGCAAGCTAGCGCTAGCAGGTTACGCATGCAGCAGGTCAACCCCTTGTCGTATCCCATGGCTTCTCCCTAATTAATTCCTCTTGTTGCTTTGCTCCCCACTGTCGTCAGTGCCCCACTGCACTGCATGCTCTCCTCTCACTGTTACTACTATAAATCTCATCATTCCACCGCCCGCCCAGTACCCTTCTTTATAAGTCAACTCTTTATTCACCATTACACGCACAGTAATTAATTTGCAGCAGTACAGTATCAGTATGGCAGCTGCTAGATCAATCGATCAGCTTGTTGGTAATTATTCATGCAGTCGCACGTCACTGCCCATGCATCAACGATCATATATATCGACAAGTAATTAATTAAGCTAGCTTGGCCAGCAGTACGTGAGTCTGACGATGCATGCATGGATGACCCTGCTAATTAATTATACTTCCTCCATACTCATAGAAAAAGTCCTTTAGAACAATATTTAAATCAAACATTTAAAATATAAATCATGAATAACTCTTAAATTGTTGAGTTTAAAAATGTAAAAATTATATGAATAGATTTGTCTTGAAAAATACTTTCATAAAAGTGCACATATATTACTTTTCAATAAATATTTTTATAGAAAAAAGAAGTCAAAATTGTGTTTTGTAAACCGTGTCGCTGTCCAAAACGACTTCCTTTACGAGTATCAACCAATCGAATTGCCCTCCCTCTCAAAAGTCAACCTCCTCCAAATTAAAGGCATGCAAGACGCCAAAGGCGGCAGATCTGTATTCTTCCCGTGGACGGTGTGCGCATGCATGCGTACAAACTTTTTTTTTTGTTGGATTTGGTACGAGCGTAGCTGATAAAGATAGCTAGCTCATCAGCTTCCTTCACAGAATCACAAGAACTAGTGGCATATGAATCCTACATACTTCTATCCAATTCGATCGATCATTCACCTTGTGCCTATGCAATAGGCAATATCTGAGCTAGCGAACACAGTAACTCTCCCCTCCCCCCTCCTCACGCGCCGATCATAAATTAATACTCCCTCCGTAATGTATGACGCCGTTAACTTTTTAAGATGCGTTTGATCGTTCATCTTATATAAAAAAATATATAATTTTTATTATTTATTTAAAGTATGATTTAACTATTATATTTGTATTTGCACAAAAATTTGAATAAGATAAATAGTCAAACATCGATCAAAAAGTCAACGGCATCATACATTAAAAAATAAAGGTAGTATTCAATATTTTGTAAAATATTGATCGGACTTGTAAAATTTCAACAATCAATTTTATATCATAATAAAGTAATATAATACGTTTATGACATTATGATAGTATTTTCCATTTTTATGCGCGCAACTTTACATCAATTGTTTATTTATTTTCTAATTTATCATTTAAGAATTTGTTAATCGCCAGTGTTTCAAAGGTTTGATCGAGTATTTACACCACGGATCAATTAATCAATATGCACAAGTACAAAAGAATTAATTAAGAATATGTATAACTATGCCGTTGATCTGCACATTAATTTGGAGACAAGGCTGATTATTCAAGATTTTGCCAGAATTGCAATTACATAATCAAATGTATGATGCCGGAATATATTGAAGATGGGTGGAGCTTTTACATGGTACTCCGTACTGAATTGGCACGCATGCCAATAATCTAGCTGATGTTTGCGTTTGGCCAAAGTGATCAAATTATTAAGAAACATAGTTTGTCTTCATTCCTGCATTTATTCTTTCGTCTCGACAGCTCTGTAGGGCTCTTTTTAGGGGACAAATCAAGGATATTATATGAGATTAGGTATAGTTTCCAGCTGCATACCTAGCCCCGCTGAACTTGCGCTTAATTAGTTATTTCTCCGGCCACATATTCAGCATATATATACATGGTTCTATCAGTGTGGTGGTTGATTAATTAGCTGCGCTGGGCGTGCAGAATATTTCCATCGATCGTATCCATCGATAGAGACGTGAACAATATGTGCTTTCTAGATACAGTAGTAGTATATACTTCATAGTTGATATATATGGCGAAACTATTCTAAACACTCGAGGAGAAACTATTCTCCTCGTTGTTTACATGTCATCTTTAAATAATTATAAAATTTTGTTATAAAGTTCAATAAGATAGATAAATATGTGATAAATCTCACTCCACAAACATAAATGTCAAATTTAACTTCTATAAATTTTAAAAAATATTTGACATTATAATATATGTCAAGAGGATATCGTCTCAGAGAGCTTAATCTACGCCCACATATATACATAGTTTAATTAGGGCGCGCTACATACTAGAGATTGTTTGGAGGCAGTGCTGCATGCATGCCCTACCTAGCTGCATACTAATTAATTATTCGAGCAGTTCAAATGGATCAGAGAATAATTAGGAGAAGTAGCAGCACAGGGGTAAAAGCTAGTGGAAAAAGGTGGTGCATGCATGCATTGGTTAAAAGTCTCGATCGATCGATTGTCAATTCTTCGCAATCATAGATGCTAGCTAGCTTTAGTTGTTGACAATTGCATATTAGTTGCACCATTATATATGTTGTGTTGGGTCAGTTGGTTCCATCGATTGCCAATTCTTGGCAGTAACATATATAGAACTTAATATACATATGCAGTTTCCTGAACATGCATAAACACATCTCCAGATGTTTCATCCTGCAAACGTCCGATATATTCATATATAGTATCGAGCTAGCTAGCTGGATTATTACTACTTAAGGGCAGGCCGGGATATCAAAATCTCAATCAAAGGTCACCTACTACATACCTGCACCCATCTTCAATTCAATCCATTTTGGCCTGCTTCAACCTACACCGATTGAATTAATTTAATTATTAATAACTGCACCACACGCGCTTACTCATCTCTCTCAACACGTAATTTGTTCTGTTTGGTGATCATGAGTGAATATATGTATATATGTTTACATAATGATCAGTGAATATATGTATATAGACATATAATTCAGGCTAACACTCGATCGATCGATCGATCTATCCATCTAGCTACCATGAGGGGTACATTTGTCATTTTGGGACGATGAAGAGAGATCGAACTCCGGCCTCTCACTCTCACTATATATACACGCATACCCTGGGCTGGGTTGGTAGATTATATTAATGAAGTCACACTCACACACTAGCTAGCTAACCAGCCAGTTAATACTCCATATAAACAAACTGATCCTATCTTGGAAGAATTAAGCAAGTAGCAGCAGCAGCTTAGGTTGATCATATGGATGGTGCGATGCAAGAGAGCAGAGAGTATTGGCGCGACGGCGGCGATGTCGTCGGAGAGGAGCTCTTGAGGGAGATCCTCGATGAGACCGCCGCGGTGCATTCCAATTCCAATTCCAATTCAAATTCAAATTCCAATTCAAAGGAGGCGGAGGAGGAGGATGAGAGAGAATATTTTGCCGCAGCTGCAGCGGATGAGCAGCTGCAGGTGGAGGCTCCTTGCGGGCGGCGGCGGCGGGAGTCGATGGTGAACAAGCTCATCTCCACGGTGTATTCTGGGCCAACCATCAGCGACATCGAGAGCGCTCTCTCCTTCACCGCCGCCGGCGACCATCAGCTACTCGCCGACGGTCACAATTTCGCTGCAAGTAGCTGTAGCCCAGTGTAAGTGTAGCTACCTCTGTCTCTGTTTGTACATATGCATGTATATATGCTAGCTTAATTAACTGCATGCTTATATATATGTTACTCCTGCGCATGCTTGTAATTTAATTTACTTGTGACATGCTCGTTGGGAGGAGTGATATATATATTACTTGGTGGAAAAATGATAAAATTAATTAAAAGAATGAATAAATATATAGGGTTTTCTCGCCGGAGAAGACGTTGAGCAAGACGATGGAGAACAAGTACACACTGAAGATGAAAAGCTGTGGGAATAATGGTGGGCTCGCAGATGATGGGTACAAATGGAGAAAGTATGGCCAGAAATCCATTAAGAACAGCCCAAACCCCAGGTATATATATTTGTACTACTCTCTCTCTCTCTCTATATATATAGTAGTATATACCATATACATTTGCATCTACTAGCTAGCTAGCTAGCAAACCAGGCGGCTCAATTAATTAGTGATACATGAAACTAAGGAAAGTGGGAGCTAATTAAACACCAGCTGTGCAGTGTTAGGCCTCAAATGGCATGTGAAGTTATGTATCGTCCCTTGATTGTCATCGAGGACAAGATCAAGTATCCATGCATGTAGACGTGTCGATTAATTGTTCGTCTGCAGTACTTTGCTTAATTAGCTACTAGCTCTTGCTAGGTTAATTACATACATACATATAGTAAGAAAAAATAAACTTATATATAGGACGCGTGTATGTATGTGGGATGGATGCAGGAGCTACTACCGGTGCACGAATCCGCGGTGCAACGCGAAGAAGCAGGTGGAGCGAGCTGTGGACGAACCCGACACTCTGATCGTCACCTACGAGGGTCTCCACCTGCACTACACCTACTCTCACTTCCTCCACTCCACTTCTTCCTCCTCGTCGTCTACTACCACCCAACAACAACTGCAGCCTCAGCCTCAGATGATGACCAACTGCAAGAAGAAGCCCAAGCTGCACCTGCACCCGCTGCTGCACGACGACCCACCCCCACCCCCACCGCCGCCGGAAATGACGACCATGATGATAATGCAGAGCTTCAGCATCCAGCAACAACAACATGATGATGATCAGCTGCTGCAGCCTGCTGCAGATGATCACTTGATGGTGCAGGCTCCCCCCGATGATTGTTACAATATTAACGGCAGCAGCAGCAGCGGCTTGATGATGAGCTTGGACGACGACGAGCAGGCCGCCGGCGCCGGCGGGCTACTGGAGGACGTGGTGCCTCTGCTGGTCCGCCGCCCGCCGCCGCCCATCTGCAACAACAACAACTACTACTACTCGCCGGCCACCACCTGCACCTCTGACAACGAGTACGGCTCGTCGGCGTCGGCGTCGCCGTCCTCCTCCGTCTCCGTCTCCAGCTGGACTACTCCCATGTCTCCCTGCATCGACATGGCCATACTCTCCAACATCTTCTAGCTATATTCAAATTAATGAAATTTCATCTAGTATTCTCTAGCTAGCTAGCTAGTCGATCTAGTACTTACAAGATATATATAGGTATGTATGCGTACTGTACGTACGTAGCTAGTGCAGCACGTATTACTACTATAGTTGTTGCTTTTGTTAATTTCCAGCTGATCCACCATGCATCGTATCGAAAGGTACACGTTGTATCTACTACTATATGTATGTATCTTCATCAGAGTATAGTATATAGAAGTAGTATATGTAGATCCATCCTATGCTATGTCATATGGAAATCTAGCTATAAGATGCTCTCGCCGGCCGGCTGGCTTAAATATTGGCGATGCAATAATAATTAATATAATCTCTATATTTGTATCAATCATATATTGATGAGATATTGCACGAGTTAAATCGCCCGGACTGTCAATATTTTCTGCGGCTAATAAAAAAATCACATTGCTCATCCAATGCCTCTATCACATTCTTTCTTGTTCACATTTCCTCTTCTCGGTGGTAATATAATAGTAGCATCTGAAAGAAAAGAAAAGTACTATATGTTTGGGCCTAGTATCATGTTGGCCCAACACATCATACACGTAAGATCTGGCCGGCCCAAAACAAATGCGAATCCATGGGCTTGGTTTTTCCACGGGCCTTTAAAGAAAGAAAGCGAGGAAGGAAATGCTAATGGGCCGGCCCGCATGGCAGAGAGAGTACAACGGCTACTCGGGTGGGGGGCCCACAGTCAGAGGGAGACAGCTCGTGCTAGAAAAAGTAGGCGACTTGCCCACTCCAACCAAAGTGACCGTTGCAACCTCATCTCCGCTCCTCTTCCTCCTCCTCGTCGTCGTTGTCGTCGTCGGCGGCGCATCCAGCCTCGACGTGCCGGCGGCGGTGGGTGGCGGGGCAGCAGACGAGCAAGAAAGAGATCCCTAGTCTCTCTCGATGGCGACGGACGCGTCCCCCAAGCCGGCGCCGCCGCGCCTCAACGTGCCGCCGGCGATGGCGGGGGGGCTCCGCCTCGATCCCGCCGTCGCCTCCCCGGCCCGCCTCCTCCTCGACGTCCCCAAGACGCCATCCCCTTCCAAGACCACGTACAGCGACCGCTTCATCCCCTGCCGCTCCTCCTCCCGCCTCCACAACTTCGCCCTCCTCGACCGCGACCGCGCCTCCCCCTCCTCCACCACCGACGACGCCCCCTACTCCCGCCTCCTCCGCGCCGAGATCTTCGGCCCGGACTCCCCCTCCCCGGCTCCCTCCTCCCCCAACACCAACCTCTTCCGCTTCAAGACCGACCACCCCTCGCCCAAATCGCCCTTCGCCGCCTCCGCCGCCGCCACCGCCGGCCACTACGACTGCACCGCCGGCTCCGCTGAATCCTCCACGCCGCGCAAGCCGCCCAGGAAGGTCCCCAAGACCCCGCACAAGGTGGGTTCCCAACGTTCCTTCTTCCCTCTTCTTGGGCATTTCCACAAACACCCACTGCGCAACTAAAACAATCTTTTGGTTTCCGATCCGTGTGCGTGCGCAACTCAGGTCCTGGACGCGCCGTCGCTGCAGGACGACTTCTACCTCAATCTTGTCGACTGGTCGTCGCAGAACACGCTCGCCGTCGGCCTCGGGAATTGCGTCTACCTCTGGTCGGCTTCCAATTGCAAGGTCACCAAGCTCTGCGATTTGGGGCCCAGGGACAGCGTCTGCGCTGTGCACTGGACCCGAGAAGGCTCCTATCTTGCCATCGGCACCAGCCTTGGCGATGTCCAGGTTTCCCCCTCTCATCTCCTCTCCTCTACTCTCTACTGAATAAATTGCCTGCAGCATATGATTGTCTTCAGTTTATCTATCTAGTACTTAGTAGTAATTGTTTTCTACACTCTTTAGATTTCATCACAACAATTACACAAACTATATACATCAATTGTTCCAAATATCCTGAATCCTGGGCTGATGCAATTCGCTTCGTTCACCATCTCGTATGATAGATGTACACTAGTAAAGATTTGAAACATAAGCCCTATTGCTGAAACTCTAAACTTTTATTCGATTCTAGTACTAACTATCACTATCACAACACGTACATACTTCTTTCAATGTGTCCAGGATGTGTGCGACAGTTTTGTCTGCAAATCTCAAACTACCTATACTTGAATTAGCCTATTGTTTTTGTTCAACTCTGTGAATTTGTTCATGGCTATCGAGAATTTGATGCATACATAAATTCCAACAGATTTGGGATAGCTCTCGCTGTAAACGGATTAGGAACATGGGAGGACACCAAACACGGACTGGTGTATTAGCATGGAGCTCCCGAATCTTGTCCTCCGGTAGCAGGGACAAGAACATATTGCAGCATGACATCCGTGTCCCAAGTGACTATATCAGCAAGTTCTCAGGGCACAGATCAGAGGTGAGACTTCTAACTACTTCCAAGCCATAGGTTTTTGGAAAATAGCTCACTAACTATGCAAGTTAAAATCATCCCATCTCACAGTAAGATTTCAGAACCATGTATGTGCATCAAGTGACAGTTTTTTTGGTCAGGTCTGTGGACTGAAATGGTCGCACGACGACCGTGAGCTTGCATCCGGTGGAAATGATAATCAGCTGCTAGTATGGAACCAACGTTCGCAGCAGCCGATATTGAGGCTGACAGAACACACAGCTGCAGTTAAAGCAATAGCATGGTCACCACATCAGCAAGGCCTCCTGGCATCAGGTGGTGGAACCGCTGATAGGTGTATCAGGTTCTGGAACACGGTTAATGGAAACATGCTGAATTCAGTGGACACAGGCAGCCAGGCGAGTAGTTCTGAACAAGCCTCTAAAAAGTAGTTCAGTGAATTTTTACTGTCATCCTCACCAGCTGCTTTCTGTTTTCAGGTTTGTAATCTTGCCTGGTGTAAAAATGTAAATGAGCTTGTGAGCACTCATGGGTATTCCCAAAACCAAATCATGGTGTGGAAGTACCCATCTATGTCAAAGGTAAGCTTAAATTCCCGTGGGCTGTCAAGCCTACTAATTCACCAGTTAGACAATTGTGCATCAAGTAATCACTCATTCGGATAAAAACGTGAAAAAAAGCAGAGGAAGTTATGTGTCTGATTTCTCCTAGGGTTGTTTCCAAAGAACTCATTCCTTTCTGTGGGCCGAGACATTGACTCATGGATTGCTTAAACGCTTAAAAGGAATTTAGTATCAACATAGTTGACGAGCATGTAATGCTTAAAAAGAACAATATCAGTATGGCTGCAAATCCAAGTGAAGTATTTCACAGGGGGCTATTTTCATTTGTATTTGCAGATAAGGATAAGAGTAGAATAATTCCTTTGAATTTTTAATATCTGTTCAAGAAAGATTTCCACTAGTGCAGTACCACTAAGTATTTTATGTTTTCGATAAACAGGTTGCTACTCTAACTGGACACACGCTGCGAGTGCTTTACCTTGCAATGTCACCTGATGGACAGGTAAATCTTTTTCCAAACTGCAAATCATGTATCCGGAAAAATATTCCTGGGAATCGTCCTAAATGATGCATATTACTCATTTGCAGACAATAGTAACAGGAGCCGGGGATGAAACCCTCAGATTTTGGAATATTTTTCCTTCAATGAAGACACAGGTAGGCATCTATTGTTGAACACAGATTTTATTTATTTTGTGGCTTGTAGCTTGAACTGCCATATTGTTTGCACCAGGCTCCTGTTCGTGATATTGGGCTCTGGTCATTCTCGAGAAGCCACATACGGTGACCATAATAGGAGGCAAAGAAAATGCATATGTTTGTATGAAACATAATTTTCTGAACTTGTGCAGTTCTTCAGCGATTTGTAAATTGTGAGGCCTAATTATTCATTTATTGTTTGTGTGCGCGTGTGTGTCTGTGAGATCGAGAGAAAGGGAGAAGAACTCATATTAACATAACCAATTCTTTGTATTAGAAGCTCATAAGTCGGCTAGTTTCTTGTTTGGAATTTCATTGCAGAGAAACAAGGGCCTTGTAATTTATCACAAACTTATATGCTTGTATTATTCTCACACACTTTGTGGCCATTTCATGACTTCAAAATGGATCAAACCTCTGGATTATGTTTGTTGCTTAAATGCCAGCCTTTGTCAGTCTTTTTGTTTATGCCTTGAGCTGTAAACAACAGCTTGCCACACAGGATGCTGCATTCAGACTGGTTAAGTTGTACTCTTGTTCAGTTTACTAGTAGTATAATTCTTGTTGCTTCCTGAAAGCAGCATTGTGCAGACGGGTAAACGGCATCCGATGCTGAGACCGTTCTCGAGAAAGAAGAGATGAAGAGGAGTAAGATGGAATTTGGGTGACGCCTTTGAGCCGGCATAAAGGAAAAAAGAGCGAACCAGCATATAGCATGGTCGGTGCAACCCCAAGCCTGGTCCAAACTTATTAAAATCAGGCAAGCAAGCAGCCAGCCAGTATGATATTGAATTCTTGGCCAAGAAGACTTTCTCCATGATGATCACGCCTCTTCCTCAGTCACAAGTTCAGCTTTATTTTATTTTATGAAATGAATAATACTAGCAAGTTTTTTTTTTAAAGAACTACTAACACGAAGTAACCCAAAAAAAAAAACAAGTTGATTCTTGTGGTCGAGTTACACGCGGCAGCCTGCAAGGAGTGATGGGTGCACATGAGAAGTGGTAGCGTAGTCGGTTTGACAGATTGGTGCCGAGCTGCCGATGCAAATGCAAGAAGCAATTCAATCCAGCATCCAGTTCAAGTGCAACCAGGTAGGTGATCCAAATGAGCTGTGTGCAATGATGCTTCAGCGACTCATCTTCATGGAACAATAATGCCGCCATCTCTTCCTCAATCTGCTTATTTCTTCTCTTGTAAGAATTCTTGTTGCTGTATGGAGCACGAAGCAAGAAAGAGCTGAACCTTCACTTCTTCCTCATTGCTCTTTGTTTGTGGAGCAATCTGGATAGATAACTGAATCTTTCAGAAAAGAGAAAATGATTTGGACAGATAACTGCACACGTAGTACGTCTGCTACGAGGACATTGACTTTTAACAACAATCTATAGCTGTTTACTCATCAAAAATTAGTACTGCTACTAGGATAGAGTAGTTTGTTTGGATCTGATGGTTACACATTGACCCCAAATACCAATACGTGCAGAACAAGTACTAGTAACAATAATCCTGTCACGTTTGCAGCCTGCCATCAACTGAAATTGAATTTGTCAACGACAGTCAAGTACTAATGAAACCAATAAACATCGGATTTAAATATCTCCATGAATATTTATTTGTTGCATCATCTGAATTTGGCATGTAGTATAACGCTTGCTTTATAAAAACACTTTCATGGGTACAAATTTATACTATTTCTTATAATAATTAATACTATATTAAATTAACAATATATATTTTTCTGGAGAGTGTAAGGCGTCATCAGGGACAAAGTAAGCAATGAGAAAACACCCATCAAATATTTCCGTCAAAAAAGTTGTTAGCCCTAGACATGAAAAAAGAAAGAGAGAAGAAAATATATTTTTTTTCCACAGCACAACGGCTCCCTTTCCTTCTCATTCCTCGCGGGGAGGGGCGGCGCCGACGCCTCATCGACTAGTTCACTCCATCTCCATCTCCATCTCCATCTCCATCTACATATACGGCCGCTTCCAACTGCAATCTCCTGCCTGCCCAGCGATTCTTCCCACGATTTCCTTTCCTGCTTTTCTCATCCCTTTTGTTTCTTCACTCCGGCTCACCGCGCGAACCAATCTTCTGCCTTCACACAACCAATTCATCAAGCAGGTCTGTTTTCCCATTCCCTTCTTTTCTTGGACCAGCCAAATTTCCTTTTTTATTTTTGTGTGTATCAAGGATGGCGGCAGTTCATTGGGGATCCTAGTCAAATCTTGTACTAGTCCGGCCTGTAACGCCAAAGCTTAGATCTGAATCGGATATCTCTCTTCAATCCTGTGTTTGTATTGTTTGTTTGGGCGTAAAGTCGTTACTTTTTTTTTCTTCTGTTGGTTGGTTGGTTGTATCAGATCGAGATGGAGTGCGAGAGCAACTACAGCAAGGAGCAGAGGCTCAACGGCGACAGCCTCGTCTTCGGTATGCTACCCATTGCTTAACCAGTACTCCCTCCCTCCTTAAACATTTGACGCCGTTAACTTTTTTAAATATGTTTAAACGCTCATCTTATTTAAAAAATTTAAGTAATTATTAATTCTTTTCCTATCATTTGATTCATTGTTAAATATACTACTACTCAAGTTTTTGAATAATATTCACAAAATTTTTTAAATAAGACAAATGGTCAAACATGTTTAAAAAAGTCAACGGCATCAAATATTTAGGGACGGAGCGAATGATTCAATAGTAATTCTTGCCATCACTGGTGCTGTCTCCAATTGCATTTCAGAAAAAAAAAAGGAATTTCATTTAAAGTGAAACTGCAAGATTTTCATACCTTGTTCATTTTCCTTTTTAGACCTTGATGACACGCTGTATCCGGTGACCTCCGGCATTGGAGCCGACGTCGTAAGGAACATCCAAGGTACACAAACAGTCAAGCACAACGTATTAGCATTTCTTGGAACAGATATGTTGATGAGGTATGTGGTGTTGTTTGGATGTTTCAGCTTATATGATCGAAAAGCTTGGTGTGGAAGAGAGCATCAGTTTGGAGCTATGCGTCCTCCTCTACAAGCAGTATGGAACTACCATGGCCGGTTTGAGGGTCTGTATGCTTTACTCTATTCCCCAGCAAAGTTGCCCCCCTTTTTGGGTGCTTGTTCATATCTTCCTTGCTGTTCTGTAACCCTCTTAAGTATTGTTCCTTTCAATCTTATGATGATGCAGGCTGTTGGGTACCAGTTTGATTATGACGACTTCCACAGGTATTGGCTTCTCACCAAAATACATGTTTTTGCCAGTAATCAGGTTCTTAGTTGCTTCATTTTCTGTGCAGCTATGTTCATGGAAGGTTGGCTTATGAGAAAATTAAGCCTGATCCAGTACTTAGGAACATTCTCCTAAGCTTGCCAATCCGCAAAGTTGTATGTACGCAAACCTCAAGTTTATTTTGTACAAAACATAATAAGCATTTGATTCTAATGATAGATTTTAATTGTTTTGACCAGGTCTTCACAAATGGTGACAGAATTCATGCTTCAAGGGCCCTCAAGAGGCTAGGAATAGAAGATTGCTTTGAAAGAGTTGTGTGCTTTGAGACACTGAACCCAACATCATCCTCTCTTTCGGCAGCTGGTCAGGTTGAAATTTTTGATATAATGAAGCATCTGGCTCATCCAGAGCCTGGGGTTGAACTACCAAAGTCGCCAATCCTGTGCAAGCCAAATATAGATGCCATGCGGCAAGCTCTCAAGGTTGCCTCCATCAATCCGAAGACATCGGTAAGCACTTAATTTCCTGCCTGCTCATTTTTCAGAATCACAGGTCTGGTCCTCTTTGGTGTGTAAACTGATCGACATGCTTGAAACACCTATCAGATATTGTTTGATGACAGCGCCAGGAACATCCAGGCTGCGAAGCTAATAGGAATGTATACTGTCCTGGTAATTATCCCTTTCGGTTAATTAATTTTGAGCGTAACGATTATGTAATGTTTAGGTAAAGTAACTGATGATAATGTGAATGTACCAGGTTGGAACTTCTGAAAGAATAAAGGGTGCTGACCATGCGTTGGAAAGCCTTCACAACATGAAGGAAGCATTGCCTGAGCTGTGGGATGAAGCTGTGAAGGATGAGGATGTCAGGAAGTCAAGCAAAGTCGGAATTGAGACATCTGTGATCGCTTAAAACTCCCATGAATGTTTCTGATGGAGAACAGCATGAGATGAGTGGATCATTTTTCAGAGCTCATCTCTGCACTTTCTTATGTCTGAAAGTAGATGTGCTAATTTAGGGGAGATTTTACTCTTCTTCATGTACTGTGTGAGTGTGTGACTGCCTGTAATAAATAAATAAATAAATGCCATCTATGAACTGACAATACAATTCCTGGTGATGTTTTGTTCTTGTTTGGTCTTTAACACGTTGTGACTTGTGAGCACCGGATGACTTTGTGGTTCAGCGTTTTTGTTTCTTTGAGAATAGATTTTAGCATGCACGCCACAAGTCAGCCTTGATATACTTGAGACATGTCATTTCTTTGAAACTGAAGAAAGACTTGCTGCTATTCCAGATGATTCGACTGGAGGAGGCTAGTTGTTCATCTATGCTTTGCTCTGTTCAACTACCTCCTTGCCTAGCATACACATGGCAATTGATATGAATTGATGTATTGAAAGGCTGGAATACCTTCACACTAGCCACAGATCTCCAAGACCAGCAAGAATGGATGGTTATCAAGATTCAATATGTAAATCTGTATATACCGTAGTGAACCATGAAATCAAGAAAGCTACAAAAATTACAATGGGAATGAGCTGTTTCAGCCGTGGTACAGGGATAGCTTGACAAGGCGCAGTGTATGGTACTTCAACGGCTTAATGCAATCATTGCCAACCGATTCTACAAAATGAAATCTGTTAAAACCTCAGGACATTTCTAAACACGGGGCTTCTCAGAAGTGCACAAATGCTGCTATATCGGTCCATGAAAGTAACGGCGTCTGGCCTCTCGTGTAATCATACCCTTTCTGGATTGCAGTAAGTTCACTTACCATCCCTTATTGCGTTTTGTAATCATACCCTTTCTCCCTTGGGCATAGGCTCCATTGGCTAATGGGCACTGTGCGGGGCGAGCTAGCCATGCGGCCCATGCCGTCAGTAAGATCACATAGTCACATGGCAATAAGTTCACTTTAGGTCCCTCAATTTGTTCGAAATTCATTCCTAGACCACAAAATCGGATATAACGAATTCCCCAACTTACAAAACCGTGCGAACGATGTCTCCCTCAGCAGTATTTGTTCCTGGGTTTGGCTGATGTGGCGCCTACGTGACTCTTTTAACTAGGTCTTGGTTCCACGTGGCATTGACGTGACGCTTACATGGGCAATTCAATCCGGAAATATAGATAAAAATGAAATATTCTCAAGATCAGGATAGTGTAAGGCTCAGGATCAGGGCAGGCCGGTTCCAATCATAGTTGAAAGGACCACGAACTGAACTTCTCACACCTCTTGTCGCCCTCCATATAAAATCACTGAACACTTAACTAGCTGCAAAGTAAGTTAAAATCATCACTTGATGCCACAATTTTGTAAAAAAACTATAACATTTCAGAAAAATAATAAAACACTATATATCAAGGAATAAAAATTAAAAATGACAGGCAGTCAAAGCAATGCAAGGGCTCAATATTCACCTTACTTAAAGATCCGTTACACACAAGGGCTGAACATTAATGATGAACAGGTTCGAAAAGGGTACATATATATAGAGGGCTTAATTGAGACGTTCAAAAATATTTTGATCCTGTTTTGGATAAGAATCTGATACTTGCAGTAGTAGCATTGAAGGTACGCTAGACCGAAGAGGCCGGCCACCCCAATGTTTGTTCATTAATTTTGACAATTTGACTCTTTGCAAAAACTATTTTTACAAATAAACCGTTGCCAAAAACTTATTTTAAAAATGACCTTTTTGCTCAACGCCAAATCATATGGCGCTGAACTTAGACACCTCAGCGCCATGTCAGCTAGCGCTGAATGCCGTGCCACGGAAGATGGTAGACTAAGTTAGCGTGCCAACGTACATTCAACGCCATGCTATTTGGCGCTGAGGTGTCTAAGTTCAGCGCCACACGATTTGGCGTTGAGCAGAAGGGTTAGATTTGAAATAAGTTTTGACAGCGATTCATTTGTAAAAATAGTTTTTGCAAATAGTCAAATTGTCAAAATTAATGAATGTTTGTCTCTCCCTCAGGAGTCAGGAGTCAGGAGGCATGCAGACCACATGGATGGAAGTAGTAACATTTTGTGCAACACCGTACCAGCAGTCCAAGGAAGCTAGCCTACAGATCGAATCGGCGAGGGAGGGCGGAAGATGCGGCCGGGTTGGGGAGTACAGTACAGGAGCATATATGCAGTGAGGCCGGAAGCAGCCAGCTCGCCGTGGTTTAATTGGGAAAGACATGCAAGATCAGCTGCGAAGCCGGAGAAATTAAGCCAAGCGCACCACCACCGCATCACAAGCCCCAGCTGGCGCATCATCGTTCCTCTCCCATATTGAATCGAAGCAGCTGATAATTCTTAATTATCACCGACCAATTTATGTGAAGTTATATATATATTTTTTTGTAAACATGATGTCAAAATCACTACTGATAATTCCTTGAGGTGAAAAAATATCAAAAGTTATGAGGTCCGGTCCTTCAGCCAATCCGAGTGATTTTACACAGAACCAGTAGCAGTAGTTGAAATGGAGATAATTTTTAATCATATGAGGTACGGAGATTTCATTCAGAAATTTGTACGTGTGTGACCCTTCAAGCTTCAGTTATTCTTTATGTAGTGATATATCAATGATAGGTGCTAGGATCCCTCATGCTGGATTTTCTTTACCAATATTAATTGTATTACTTGAGTTCTGAGTTCATAATTGAAGTTATACTAGCTAGTATGATCCCAAAATTACCTCGAATACTTTTGTAATTTTATCTTTCTTTTTATGTATTGAGAAAAATGCAGAATCAGTCAACAATTCTTGAATCCAGTTTTCTCATATGGAATCTAGCTCCAGGTCAGTCAACTATGAACTTTTCTCCAGATTTATTTTGTATGTATATTGAGTGACTCACATTTGTCGTTGTTTTTAGTTGTGATGATCTTCCATCTGTGATGCATCTATGAAACAAGCTAGCTTTATAACACCATTAATTAGTAGGCTAATAACTGTATGTATCAAGTATCTTCAGCTTTAATTTGTTCTTCTGAATGCTCCATTTATATATTTGTACCCAACTTTTCATCTATAGATCGTTTTCAGTTAGGCAATAGCCAATGTCATTGAAGAGGATGAAGCCACCTGAATCTTCAAAAACAAGTACGTGTGATGCAGACATGCAGTTAGATCTTTGTAACCTCTCGGACTGAGGCAAGAGAACATCGGTAGCTAGAGAATGACGCCTGGAAGCGGACAGCGCTGCTGCTGGGCTGGATGGCAGCGATGGTGCTGCGCCCCCGACAATGGCGACGACGCCGGTCGTTGCGTACGGCGCTAGCAGCTAGCTACTACGTACTGTGTGGGAGCGACGTCCCGGCCGGCGTACCGTATACGTACGATGTGTGCACTACTATACGGTCGCGATCGACGTATATATGTATATCGGAGAGTGTATATATATATCCTGAATTAATTTATTTTTTCGGAAATCCAGAAAAAAGGTTGTATCTGACACGGATACGCGCCTTCCATGACGTATCCTGCAGGTAATTATTAACGTTGAGTAGTCTCTCAGTTTAATTTTCGCTCCCCGGCCCGGCCCTCTCCATGATATATATCGATCGATCTATAAAAGGTAGGGCCATGCATGCATCTGAGATGGAAGAAGCATCAAGCTAGCAGTCGATCGATCAATGGCAGGTGGAGCGTGGTTGCAGTTGCAGGTGGCGCTCCTCCTCCTGGTGGCTCTCATCTTCTCAACCTTGTCGCCATCGGAAGCAGAAGCAGAAGCAGCTGCGGCTACTTCTACTAATTTGCGGCGTCGGCAGGAGGTGCAGAGCCTCCTCAGGCGCCTCAACAAGCCTCCTCTCGCAACCATTCAGGTACCTACCTACCATTTCCTTTTGTGTTTTTCACATCTAGCTAGCTAGAATGAGTACTTCATGTAGAATATATATATCTGCACTTCTCATCTAGTTGCAAACTACTAATATGATAAATTAACCCTATGCAGAGCCCAGATGGAGATATCATAGACTGTGTGCATATCTCCAAACAGCCTGCGTTCGATCATCCTCTCCTCAAGAACCACACAATCCAGGTGAATTCATTAAGCACCATTATATTATGTATATATTGCCCGCCCCCTAATTTCAAATATAATTTCACTCTACACCACCAATATAATGCATGCATGACATCTTCACGTACGAATAATGCCGATTTCAGATGCGGCCTTCTATCCAGCCAAGTGGCATGTATGGTGAAGCGGCACGTCCATTCACCCAAACATGGAATCAAAATGGCGAAAAGTGTCCCGACAACACCGTACCAATCCGAAGGACCAAGGAGGAGGATGTCATGAGGGCCACCTCTGTTGCAACGTTTGGCAAGAAGACGCACGGGAGCCATCACCCTCGCTTGGCTGGTGTCACAGATGGCCACCACGTACCACCCTCATCTCATATTACAACTAGCTTGTCTTCCTAGTAAATTTTCTTATTTAATCTCCTATTAAGCAGTATGGTGTAGCATCTGCAACTGGGGATGCTAACTACTACGGAACCAAAGCGACAATCAATTTGTGGCAACCAACGATTGCAACATCTGGTGATTTCAGTCTGGCCCAGCTATGGATCTCAGCGGGCTCCTATCAAAACAAGGACCTTAATACCATTGAAGCAGGATGGCAGGTATGTGAGACCTTAAGAGCAGGATCAATACAAGAGCTAGCTGCTAGCTTCATAATCTTTCCATGTCATCAAGAGCTATCAGAGAGACAACTTGTACAATAATTACACATAAACATATACTTCATTAATATATAGCCCACTTCTCATACACACACAAAGCTTAGAGTCTGTGCTATAGTTGGCTGTAAATCTGTAGCCCACTATTCTTCTATCTCTCCTCTTATCTCTCCTCCAAGTGAGCATAAATGTGATGTGGCAATTTTTGAAGCTTGCTTATGTCACTTATTGTACTCGCTCTAAGTGCATCAGAGGGGAAAACGTTCTATTAAATCCTACATGCATGCCTTGCAGTTTCCATGCATGATACATATACTAGACTAGGTTCTCGATCTATTCATGCAAGCTCTTGTCTTTGTGCATGCCCTGATGTCCATGTTATCTACAGTTAGCATTGTAGATAACTTTCTACTGATTCCATGTTCAGTTAATAGGAGTATATAAGGATGCCACAATTAATGTACCTATGTCCCAAAATATTTGTTGTTCTAGGTTGTTTAGCAAAGTATAAGGTTTGGTAAGAAAAAACTATAGTGCCCTTACTAAATGATGTAAAGTTGGGTATGAGAGGGTAGTTGGGGGTAGGATATGATAGAGAAAATTTTGAATTGGAGGTGATTGATGTGGCAAAAGATACCCTAAAGTAACAAGCTTTTGGGGATAAATTTTGAATCCTAAAGTGGTCATTATTTTGGGACAGAGGAAGTAACTAAGTAATCTCGATAAGTGTCCATCTTATGGATATCTATGTACTAAGGACATCTTCATGTGCATGTAAAGGTAATCTTAAGTATTAAATTAATATTTGTAATCCAACTTTATGTATTGGAAAATCTTCATAATGTGTATGGGGACTTTGAATCTTCATGCTAAAAGGATTATTAGAATTTTTTTATCCTTGGTGGGCCCCAACTTAAGATGAAGAAGTGATCTCATAATCCTTTCGTCCCAATATAAGTGCAACCTACTACAGATGTGCAACTATCCAGATTCATAGTCCTCACATGTGTACTATGTTGAACTTATATTGGGACGTAGCTAGGGCGTATATTGTAGCATTTGCTACATGTAAAAAGACACATGGCTATAAGTCCCACCTTATGGTCATTGTGTGCTTAAACATTGAGGATGCCCTAACATCATGATACTGTTGTATGTATGAGTCCTAAGCTTTAATTTTGCAATGGTTGTGCTTTCTCTTATGGTGATGGCGTTGATTTATCTACGTTATTGTTTCAGGTGTACCCAGCTCTCTATAGGGATGAAAAAACTAGATTCTTCATCTATTGGACTGTAAGATATATAAACATAACATATATTCCTTTTTACCATTATTATTAGTAACAATTAATATTTCGCCCCTGTTCTATTGCGGTGGGAATTAATTAATGACATAAAGGTACTAATGGAATATATATTGTAGCGTGATGCATATGACCAAACGGGATGTTACAATCTAGCGTGCTCAGGGTTCATCCAGACAAACACGGTCATCGGTGGCAGCACATCCCCTGTCTCCATCTATGGTGGCCCACAATATGAGTACGATTATTTAGTTTGGAAGGTAAAATGTACACAGAAATTAAGCTCTTTAACACTCAAAGCATATAGACAAAATCAAATTCTTCATGAATGGGCACGGAGAATCTGGGTCATCTAGCTACTGATCTTGTCCTTCCTTAATGCACCTTCAATTCAGACTTGAGTTGAAGCCACGACTAACTGTTGCTCTAGCTTATCAGGAAACCACACAGATGGAATCGCAGTTGTCCCTATGCACGCACGTAATAGATTAAGATTTGATGCAAATGCAGGACCGTTAAGTTAGCCATTTGAAGAAATGTTCAGAAGAATAATCTTAATATATAATCAGTTTCTGCAAGGATATATATATATATATATACTGGTTACATGTTCGTGTTAACGCTAAGCAAATGCTAATTAAACAAACGCTTGCAACACATATTGTAGCATCAAGTGTGTGAATACAAGTATCCATACACTAGTATAAAACAACATTTTTCTAGCGGCCAAAATAGGTTCTCGCTGGTGATAGGCGGCACCACCAGCGACCTAAGGTTAGTGAAAATAATGAATTTTGACTGGCGCAGACGTCCAAGCTGAGAAGGTCGTTTGTGAAAAAGCGATTTTCGCTGACGATGGCTTAAAGAGACCCGCTAGAAAAAAATATTTTTAGGTAAGGCGAGGGAGCTGAGGGGGCGAGATCTGGTGGGCGATGGGACCTTTTAATACATTAAAAAAAATTTCGAGGCTAGATTGGGCGAAGGAGGGGGTCGCATTGAGGCGAGGCAGAGGGGGCACCGCTAGGGGCGTGAGCGGAGGGGCGGCGATGGGGTGACCGGCTACTGCTCCCGTGATCTGGCAGCGACTGCGGAGGGCAAGGAGGGAGACATCGTTGGGGGCCGTTTGCTACAATTCGGTGGTGGGCGAGGAGGGAGGGAGGTGTCGGCGGCGCTAGAGATGGAGCACAATCGGAGGGGACGGCACTGGGGGTGCAGGGAGTAGGGTTGCACGGCCGTCAAGTGGAGGGGTAGGAGTGCGAAGGATCGATCTGTCCGTTGGATCTCGCGATCGTACGGTTAATATTCCGTGGGTCTGCTTGGGTGAGGATTCAAGACCACCACTACGATTTTTTATAAGTAGTAGAGATATATACTGTTGCGTAAACAACAATATTAATATAATATATATCTTGCTCCTGTATATACTATATAATATAAGTTTGCTGAAGAACATAAAAAGTATGCGACACCATTTGAACCGATCATACGATACCATTTGATTCTGTGTTAGCTAGTTTCTAGTGATTTAGCAGGTGTAATTCTTTGTTTAGTTTTCTTGTTTCTTTGTCTCTGAGAAACGTCTAGGGGTCTTCTGACTAGCTCACAAGGTGGTGGGCTAGTCGGCATGGGTTTGAAGCTTCACCCTTTCTATTTATTTGATATTAGGTCATTCCCTAATATTTCTTATTTCCTTGCCCCTAGCTAATCTATTGAAAAAGTCTGTCCATGCACCCCATAAATAAATAATCTTAATTAAACAAACTAACTAACTATATTAATTCCCTGATCATATGTGTGTGTAATTAATTAATTAATTAATTTGCAGGACCTAGCGGGTGGTAATTGGTGGTTGCAAGTGCAAGGCAAATATGTGGGTTACTGGCCATCGTCCATCTTCACCCACTTGCAGACAGGCGTTGCTGACACTGTGGAATGGGGCGGGGAGGTGAATTCGCCTCGAAGTACCACACCCATGGGCAGTGGACATTTCCCTAAAGAAGGATTCGGCAAGGCCACCTACAGCAAAGCAATCCAAGTTGTTGATTCCTCCAACAAACTTAAATCACCAAATGGTGTGAGCTTGATAGCTCCGCTACCCAATTACTATAACGTCATGACTGGTTCCTCTAGTACCACAAGCTGGGGCACTTACATCTACTATGGCGGATCTGGATGCCCTTGAAACTCTGAAATTGAAGTGATATATAGAGAGAGATCGAGCTCCCCATCAAACTACATTCATCTCCTTAATAATTTATGTGTACTACTACACGATCAACATGCATGTCGCTCTCGTTTATGCATTATGCATTACTAGTGTAATAAAGTATTGCTAGCTAGGGTCTATACTAGCTGATAGTACATGCATGTCACATTTCAAGCGATTACTAGTACCTATGTATACATTTGCATCCATTGGTAAGAGGTTTGAACTAAGCTAGCATTACAAGTTGGCAATAAATGTAGAGAGAATATATTCTATACCACTGAGTTTGTTTAAGTTCAACGATTTACCATTGACATTGTCTCTTTCTATAATATGCCGGTGACTTTACAATTATTCTGCAATACGCCATTGGACAGGACATTTTTTTAAAAAAATACCCTAAATACCCTTAGACATATAAGATTAACAATTGATTTATCTCATCAGAATATTCAAAAAAAATATGTGGCCTCCTTACACAATATGGAAGTTTGTATACAGGTTTCATGTTTTTTCTGGTATATTTAGTTTTTTGAAATAAATATTTTTATGTGGTATATGAGAGAGAATCTGTTAATAAAAGAGATAATAGCACAAAAATATCTTATGTAGTGTATGAAAGATGATTTATATTAAAAACAACAATAGTCAAGTATTTTAAGTAGCATATAAAAGATAAGTTATATTTTTTGTAAAAAATAGAAATGTAAAAAACTTGAAACTTATATACAAATTTCCATGTTGTATAAGGAGGCCACATAAAAATTTTCATACTTTTTTGAAACTTTTAATGAGATAAATCAATTGTTAACTTTGTATGTCTGTAAGGGTATTTTGAGTATTTTTGAAAAGAAGGCTCAACCCAATGGCATGTTGTAAAACAATTGATAAAGTCGCCGGTATATTATAGAAAGCGACAATGTTGATGGCAAATTGTTGAACTCGAACAAACTCAGTGGTACAGAGTAGATTCTCTCATAAATGTATTGTTACAGTTTATTGGATGTTATGTTATGGAATATAATAATTATTCTCTCCGTCTCAAATTATAAAGTCTATATTTTTTACGTATTTTTTAATGGCATAAAAGTATATAATTTATATATGTTCCCACAGAATATAAAATTAACATCACATAAAAATATTTTAAAATATTAATCTAGTGATATACATGTATAATACTTAACATATACTATGGTTAATATAATTATTAGTCAAAAGTTATCAAATTTGGACGCCCTATAATTTGGCATGAAGGGAGTATCTTATTTAATCATTAGTTATTACAAGCACTGTAGATCAATGGGCGCCTTAAAGAAAATGATAACACTATACATTTCCTCGTAAGCCCAGCTGAAGCTATATGTCGGATGATCTAACCCCTTTTCACACAATACTGGAGAAAGGGCATTCCAAATCAAATATCAATGCATGTAAATCTCAGATTCCACAGCAGTGTATTGTAATTCGCCATCTAATGTGCCAATAGTTGTTTCAATGGAACATAATATCAACAGAAATTAAACAGCCAAACAAGGGCGGCAAATTCCTATCTCAATCGGTGCTCACTTTGGTTGCATTGCCATGCACAATATATTAACACACTAGTGTGGTCAAGCAAAACAAGTTGGATGCACTTGCGGTTGTAGCTGAGTAGAGCACAATGCTGCAAGAATGGTGAAAAAAATGGCAAGATTGCTGCGAAGCTTGGTCATCCCTAAAAGACTACCCACTTCGCTGTCCTCTCTCTCTGAAGAAGAAAGTTGGCCTCTTTCTAACTCAGTGATTGTTCCGGAGAAATCATATGTTCATAATAGACAAGATCTCGGGATGTTACTTTAGTCCCCAGAGCAGACCGCATAACGGCATAAGATCAGAGGAGCCCCACGACCTGCCGGATCCAGTCATGTCATGTGTAGGCAGCGCGTCCAACATTTGATCCTGCCAAGACAACATCCATCAAGAAGATGATCCAACAAGCTGAAGCAGCTGCTGCTGCAGGGTTGGGTGGGTAGAGTCGACAAGGAACTTGGCGAGCTTGGAGTTGGAGGAGAGCACATGCCCGTCTCGCTGCTCTTCTTCATGGCTGCTTCTTGGCGACGAGCAGGCTCCGTTTCTCCTTCGGCCGAGCCCGCTCGCTTGAGACCAGTAATGATCAGACAAAATTGCACAGGTAACTTCACAAACGGGATCAAAGCAACAAGCAAACACCGGGAGCAGCAGCACACCCCCAACCATATCATATGCTCGCGGTATAAAATTCATAGCAAATCTGTGCAAGCAAGCATCAACTGTTAAACTGCAGAGAGTTATGATACAACATGTGGTGTGCCAACATAGTGAACATTCTTCAGTAGATAGCATATCAGAATTACCTATACAAATGAATACATCCCTACTCAAAAGCATTGGATACACAACGATTTTATTTGACACATGATAAGCTCTATTGCAAAGGACAAATGGAGATAATACGTACTGTACAGTTTTATCACTGTCAGGTGGAGAGATCAACGTGTCATAGTCAAAGATGAATAATGGGGAGTTCGAGATGGATCTCCCCGCGTATGCACAGAATATAGCCTGTGTTTGCAAGTTCAGCTTCTTCACGCGTGAAATCACTCCACCATAGCCATCTAAACTCAATCTCATTCCTACAGTGACTACATGAAACGCGATACATCCATATTGCATCAAATTGTACACAAATATCAGCAATAGCTCGTGCAACCCAAGTGGCTCTTAGACTGTGCCTAGTACCTATTAGTTGCATCTGCAGCCTGTGAACAAAAAAGGCACCAGGTAAATATCAATAACCAGCTAAAATTATGCCTGAGGGGATGATACAATGCACTTACCGCAACACGTGGAGATCGACGAGTGCTAGATAGCAAATTACTAGGACGGGCTCCTCTTTTAGTAGGATTATCTTGATTTTTCGCCCGACTTCGAGAGTGACTTTGGCTGGTGGTAGTGGTACTTTCACGTCCAGTATCAATTGATAAAGCCGGTGGTGATGAATCTGTTATGGATGACGACATGTCTGGGCATAATGAGCTAGCAGGAAGAAACCCTGTAGACAACAACAACAACAGTAAGATGAAAATGGGACAACCGGTTCAGTGACATCTTACAGCTTTTCAATGGAACCATGAAAAAAATTCTGTTTTAACTCCAAAAACCTGGAAAGCTAGACAACCTCTCATCATGCAATGACCATTAATATCGATCTTGTTGTCAGGTCTGTGTCCATTTGACTTTGGGAAATGGAGAATTAATTGTTTATCTTCCTGTATGGAACCTCTGTAAGTCTGTATTTTGTTGGGCTCCCTGCATTTAACTCTTCAAAATTTCTTGAAGTTAAGAGGTTTATCGTGGCCTCATGGATATAGGGATAAGGGGTTCATTTCTCTAGAAAGAGATATGGTACCCATATCCTTTTCAGGATGAATTTCAGTAGGGCTTGTGGTAGTGTTTTTAAGAGAGAGGCGGTAATCTTGGTAAACACATGCACTGATCATGTGTTCTGGGGAAAAGGAACTCAACGCAGATTTATAATGAAAACATGCAAAATGGAGTACCGTTGATTGCAGCAGCCTGGAACCTCTCTCTCATGATTCTCACAAACTTGAATAGATCATTACTGCAGTTTAGATCCTTCACCAATTCTTCAGAATCTTTCAGAAATGGAGTACATTGAAGTACTGTTATCAACACAAAAGAAGGCATCATTAACAACAACACTTTCACCAAAGAATATAATAATATGACTTAGGCAGTATAATTGCATGGATATTAGACAGTTGTAACTCACGGTTGTATCTATCTTTGTTGAGCTTTATGCAAAACGAATATTCATTGTCAGGGTTTTGAATGTCAATTTTGCTGAAGACAAATTTCACCCCTTGCAAAACGGTAATTGTAACTTTGTCAGCAGAGATAACACTGAGCTAATTTAATTGGCAATATCACTAAAACTTCCATTACCTTCACCACCAACAACTTGAAAACCAAGAAACTTTTTGTACCACATAAAAGCTTCATCTAGGTTCTTTTTCCCTGCTGCGTCAGTTTTAGCTTCAAGGGCTTCAATAGCTGCCATCAAATGAAGAGACATTAAGGGCTTATGGCCTATATATTTTAGTTTCTGTATGGCCAATGGAAAATATTGAAACAAAAGAACCAAATTAGCATAGACACAGCTAGAAATGCATACATAGCAAAAGATAAAACCCATATCATTAGAAAAGGATCTGAAAATACGATACATTGGACCTAAGAGCTCCAATCAATTCTCAATCTGGCCTTTTTATTTGTAATGCAGAGTAAAGCACTTAGAGACCAAGCAATAGCTGAGCCAATGCACCAAAACTGGAGTTCCTTAATAAAATAAAACCCCACAAATGATGCATTAAAGGCTGTGATTCTGAAACGACTTGTGCCCAACGGAAGTGAAGCCTAAATATCCTATCAAACAAATTGAGTGAACCGTAAGTCATAAAGGTATCTATCTCACTCCAAATTCCTGTACTAGAACCGCAAACTTATGTTACCTTCAAGTTGACTTGATATGACATTTGCATATTCATCTCTACTGGCCCTCTTATCAGTGACCAAACAGCTGAGCTGATCATTAGTTGCAATTGCGTTCGTAATGGATTGACCAGTAAGGTCATACTTTGTCTTGTTGCTACCTTGGACTGCAGAGGAAGTTTGAAGGGTCTCAGACCTTCCATGACCTGAAGAATATCCCAAAACACTAAATAGTGAAGAAAAGGTTGTACTTACTGGACAGAGCTTGTGCAAAATCTGCTTCAAGTTTGCGCAGCTGATCCTTTAGTTGGTTGGATTTTTCTGTCATCCAGAAAGGCACAAGCCCAAGTCAGTTCCCCATCTTTTTTTTTATTACCGTGAAACAGAATTTGTACTCACAATTCACAAATCGCAGTGCACAGTCAACGATAAATTAGTTGCAGGAATGCAAGAAGGGAACAATTAACCATAGGCCACACGCTTGGCTTATTTATGCGTGCAGAAGCAGGGATTAAGTATGCGACATTTGGAAAGAGTCGAATCTCCGAAATGGAAAAAAAGCAAGACAGAGAAATTGCTTGCGCGGATCCCACAGAAAACCTAAACCTAACATAGTCTAGTGTGAGATTTTAGATGAGACGAGAGTAAACCAGATCCAGTCCATCCGTAGTGATATAGTCCTACTCCAGTAAGGAAGAAGGGCCGATACCTCGCTGGGAAATGGTGTGGTTGGAGAGGGAGCGGGCGGAGAGGAGGGCGGCGCTGAATGCGGAGGCCGCTGCCTTGGTGCGCTCGCGGCCGTCGGCGATCTGCCGCTCGAACGCCAAACACTGCGCCGCCATCCTCCTGCGCAACTCGATGGCTCCTCCTCCTCCGCCGCCGCCGCCTTCCATGGTGAAGCCGCCGGAGCCGGAGACGGGAGCGGCGTTGCTGGTGGCCGTTGGGGGTGGGTGGGTGGAGCCGAACCACTTCAAAAAAATTTGGCGTGTAAAGCTTATTTATTTATTTATTATCCACTGCGATTGGGCCGTGGGCCTTTGGTATTTTGGAGGCCCATTTAATCTGGATAGTTCGGCCCCGGAGCAAAGCATCATCAGTACTTGGTGTCGTCTCCAAGAGAGGGAGGAGACGAGAGGCGAGATCCACGACGTCGCCGGAGATCGGAGATGTTTGGGCTGCAGGCGAGCGGCGCCGCGGCGTCGTGGGTGGTGGGGCGGATGGGCACCGACGCCCACCTCTACGACGACCCCGACGACGCCTCCATCCCCACCCTGCTCGACTCCCGCTTCGATGCCGACAAGCTCGACGCCCTCAAGCGCCTCCTCGCCCTCATCGCCCAGGGCGTCGATGTCGCCCACTTCTTCCCGCAGGTTATTCTCCTCCTCCTCCTCGCTTCTTCCCCTTCTTTCCTTCCTTCCTACCGGCCTGCACTGCACCTTGCTAATTGCTTTGTTTGCAGGTTGTCAAGAACGTGGCCTCGCAATCGCTGGAGGTCAAGAAGCTCGTCTATCTATACCTCCTCCACTACGCTGAGAAGTAAGCTAGTACCTCACATGCATTCATCTTGCTTGCAATCCGTTGCAGTGATTAGGGAACAGCTCCTTTTATTTACCTTTGTGTGCTTTATACCAGACTAGCTGTGCCTCTTATCGTTGTTTCAAATGCCTAAATTTGGCTCATGACTGCCATCGATGCTCTTGTAATTCTTTCCATTTCCAAAAAGGCACGCTCTGAGTTACAGCCATACAACACTTGTGCTCTAGCTATGATGTAGTGATGCAGAAAGTATCTAGTACTAATCAATTAGGCAACTGTAATGATAGAAAATCTGATGACTAAAATTTATATATTCGTTCTATTAACTGTAATTTTGAGTAACAAATTCAAACTGTGACTCCCCGTGATCTTGACTTGCTGTTGGAAGTAATTTCACCCTCTCTTTTTTTTTATTGCTTGATGTTACTACAGGCGCCAAAATGAAGCTCTTCTTTCAATTAACATATTTCAGAAGGACTTATCTGATATAAACCCATTAGTGAGGGCCTGGGCACTACGAACTATGGCTGGCATTAGACTACACGTCGTTGCTCCACTTGTGTTAGTGGCTGTAAAGAAATGTGCCAGGGATCCATCAGCATACGTTCGAAAATGTGCTGCCTATGCACTTTGTAAGCTGCACGACTTACTTCCAGATGAAACTACATCTTTGGAGGACGTATGTCTAGTATGACCTTTTTTTCCTCGTGCATTGATGTTGAAGATTCATATGTATCTGAATTATGAAGTATGCTAATATGGTTGCAGACGGTAGATGTTTTGTTCAGTGACAATTCCCCGGGAGTAGTGGGAGCTACTGCTGTTGCCTTTAACTCAGTTTGCCCAAATTGTTTACCCTTGATATCAAAGCATTTCCAAAGGCTATGTGAGACACTCCCAGATATTGAAGAATGGGCTCAGATTCTTCTAATCGATATCATCTTGCGATATGTAATAGCTAGACATGGATTGGTGAAGGATTCTTCAATTTTTGCTTCAAATTTGACTTTGAAGAGCCAGGGCAGTGGAGATTCAGCCCTTATTGGCAATGAAACTTGTGGCACTACATCAACCATCACATTGTTCCGACATTACATTGAAGAATATTCGGAATGTTTAGAAGGTGACATAATCAACTGTTCATCCGTGACCAGTAGCACAAACAATGATGTTGCACTACTTTTGAAATGTACATCGCCTCTTCTGTGGAGCCGAAACAGTGGAGTCATACTTGCAGCAGCAAGTGTTCATTGGATCATGGCTCCAGTTGACCAACTGAATAGAGTTGTTGGGCCAATTTTATTTACTCTACGCTCATCTCCTGATGCAACATATGTGGTAATCCCAAAATTTCTTTTTCCTGGTCCATTGGTACTGTATCCTGGATTTCAACTAAGAAGAAATATGGAGCCAAAGCATGTTTTACACTTTTACTCACTTGATCCGTTGTAAATACTCCCATAGACTTTTGATAATGTCATTTCAACAATTTTTAGGTGTAGGCTTGATGTGCTTGACTGCTTTTATAACTTTATGTAAATAAATATTCTATTCAAACCAACTTTTGACCATGCTATGTCTTTCTGGTGCCAAATTAAATCCTTCAGAGCCCAAATGCTTCTGGGACACTGTCAGCCTTGCTTTCTGTTTGTACTGATGTTTGAACTCAATAACTCATTATAGAAGACAAGCCTATGGTGCATAAGCATTCACAACTTTGTGTTGGATGAAGCTAGCAAGTTGATCGTTAATTTTAATTTTATTTTGAGAATCAAATATTGAGATATATTTCTTTGAAATGTTCATGTTCTCTCACTTAAATTTTTACTTGATCTGACAATCCTTTTTAATTCTTGCAGATGCTTGGCAACATACTAGTTTTTGCCAAGACAGCCCCACAATTGTTTGCTCCGTTCTATGAAGATTTCTTCATATGCACTTCAGATCCATATCAAACTAAGGCTTTGAAGCTTGAAATACTGACCACCATAGCCACAGAGTCCTCTATTCCAGCAATTTTTGAAGAATTTCAGGTACTTGTTTGTAAAAGCAATGTACACTCTATATTTGACTTGTCTCAGTGACCTGATAATGTTCTATATGATTCTCAAATGAAGGTTCATTTGAAGTTCATCTTGTGATTATTGGTAACCATATTCATAATATACTGAGGCAATATATTTTTTGAAAACAAATTACCTTTGCTTTGTTGAATTTTATGCATAACAAACAGCATCTTTCTGAATTTCTTCTTGACATTGTTGTCCACTCCCTAATGTGATAAGTAATATCTATCTTAAACAAAAACTGGTATAGTTAGTTGTTGTTAACTCATCCTGTTTGTGCATGTTTATTGTACTTCTTATTCCTGCCAGGATTATATTAAAGAACCGGATAGGAGATTTGTGGCAGATACAGTTGCTGCTATTGCGCTGTGTGCCCAGAAGCTTCCCTCTATCACTACCAGTTGCCTTGGTGGGCTTTTGGCACTAGTATTTTATGGTAATACTGCTACTTCTGCATATTTTTGCAGTAAATGATTCTTCTTGAATATAAAGTTTGATTCTAATTATTTTACAGAATCATCTATAAGTGATTCTGCTAACTTTGATGGAGAAGCTGCTGTTTTAGTTCAAGCAATTTTGTCTATCAAAGCAATAGTGAGAACAGATCCAGCATCTCATGAAAAGGTATTTGTTTTAAATAAGCTTAGCAATCTTGTAACTCCATAGGTGTGTCTCATTTGTATACTTCTCAATATATGGATGATGCATACTTGATTTGACCTCATGATGCCCAACCAGTAATTTAGTACGAAATGCATGAAACCTCTGTTGTATTATACAACTTATGGTTTTTCCTTCATCTCCTTGGATTGAAACAGTTTGTTTTGCTCTTTTGTTAGTCATAACTCATAACTTGGCTACTGAAGGGTGCAAGAATTTTAAGATGATACAATGTAGTTTATTTTATTCTCTCATTTTAAATAGAAAAGGATAGTCCATCAGACTCCCTTTATGTCACCTTTCAATGTGCCTCCCATATTTCATTTTTGTTTACTTAGGCCCCCCATAAGTTAACCAGTCTTGAAAATACCCCTCAATGAGGCATGTTACACTATTTCTGGTAGTTCTATTATCTTTTCTATTTATTAACTTATGTAAGTGCATGTTTAATTATTTCAATAGTTGTTTCAACGGTTTGAGTGCCTTTGGTACTTGTCAGTTCTAGCACAGAATTTCTTGAACTTACAGAGGTACTGAAATCGTGTGATAAGCCACACATTCTAGTAAGAATTTAGTTTTTTTTGGGGAGCAGGGGTGTATTACACAAATATGAACATATATGTGCAAAGTAAATGAAAATGGGATATTGGGAACAATTTGAACAATTGTTTGACATTCAGTGTTTCTTTTTCTGTTTGCAGTCTGGTTGTGTATTTATTGAAAACATGTGCAATAGTAAATATTGAATATTGTGTGCTACTTTGCTCTATTGTTTGAATGTATTTGTTCCTTAATTATACATTAATTTGATATTTTGCTATTTTGCTATTCTTTTCCTGAAGGTGATTGTACGCTTGGTCCACAGCCTGGACAAAATTAAGGAGCCTGCAGCACGATCCCTGATTATTTGGATATTTGGAGAGTATAGTTCCATAGGAAATATCATTCCAAAGATAACTCCTGCTGTTCTCAAGTATCTTGCATGGTCCTTTGCTGCTGAAATGCTTGAGACAAAGCTTCAGATCTTAAATGCTGCTGCAAAGGTCCCTCCATCCTCCATCTCTCCCTCTCTGTAAGAATTCAAAAGGTTCCTTTTCTCTTCTGTGGGGATCACTAATTGTTCTTCCTTTACAGGTTATCATACATTCTCCTGAAGAACACTTAGAAGAATTCAAAAAGATAATGGCCCATGTCATTAAGCTGGCTACATGTGATTTGAGTTATGACGTCCGTGATCGTGCCCGTTTTATATCAAGACTTTTGCCATACAGCACAACCTATTTAAATGGAAACAACTCCTCATGTCAATCACATAATGAAGATATGTTTAAGGAACTGGCTAATCATATATTTGATGGGAAGATGCCATCAACATTCCATCCAACCAATAACTACCGGATTTATCTTCCTGGTTCCTTGTCACAGGTGATTCTTCATGCAGCTCCTGGTTACGCACCACTTCCAAAGCCTCAGAGTATGGAATTAATTCATAAGACCATGGAACCAACCAGAGGAGTAGGCAATTCTTCTGAAAGCATTAATTCTGATGCTGAATCTGGATCTTCAACATATGATGGTGGTTCTGTTTATGATTCAGAGAGTGAAGTTGATGGCTCATCTGACAGGAATGCTGCTGATTCTAACACAAAAGATAATCAAGAAGATCCCCTGGTCCATGTTTATGATGCAAGTGTAGATCAAGGTCAGACGGCTAGGGATGTCGAGGATAATTTTGCATCTCTCATCACTACTGATTTGACTGAATTAATGTCTAAGTCAGCCTTGGAAACATGGCTTGATGAAGCTCCTGCTGAACCAGTTCAGGTTTCTACACAAGCATCCTCTGCTAGAGTGTCTTTTACCAATCGGAGCTTTGAGCGAAAACCTAAATTGCACATGTTGTTAGACCCATCTAATAGTAATGGTCTAAGTGTTCTTTATGCCTTTTCATCTGAGGTTTCACCCGTATCACGCTTGCTAGTGTGTGTAGACTTGTTATTTGAGAATGTTTCAACAAACCAACTGGCAGATATAACAATTAAATCCGAGGAGGCTTCTGGTAGTGAGGATGGCTTGGACCAAACATTACAAGGATCTGCAAGGTACTATCCATCTTTAATTGGTTCATTTTAATGTCATTTCATTTGTGTCGTCAGAATGCTTGCAGTGGCATTCTGTTATCTGTTTGTGTTTATTAACTTATTTTAATTACTGTCTCATTTATTGTAATCATTTTGGCCTGCAGTGTTCCAACTATTGTTCTTGATAAAGAGATACAATTATTGGCTCCCGAACAAACGGAAAAGATGGTTCTTCAGGTTCACTTCCATCACCATCTATTGCCCCTTAAGTTGTCTGTGCTCTGCAATGGGAAAAGGCATCCAGCAAAACTTCATCCTGACATTGCTTATTTTGTGCGGCCACTGCCCATGGACCTAAATGCTTTTCTATGCAAGGAAAACCAACTGAGGGGAATGTTTGAGTATGCTAGAAGGTCAGTAAATCCCCACCAGTCTCCACTATGTTATACTTCTGGTCGTGTTACGGACTTCCACCAGTCTCCACTATGTTATACTTCTGGTCATGTTACGAGACTTCCACCAGTCTCCACTATGTTATAATGCTAGCTTTATTTGCACATATTGGTTTCTCTGAAGTTTCAGCATTTAGGGCTTATCCTAATAATGCCATAACACCACCTTAAGCTTTTCATATTTGCATATTTGCAATTTCTTGCTATTGCTTATGGGTTTTATTACTTACCAAAAAGGCAATCAGAACAAAAAAAAACAAAGGAAGAGTTTCTTGGTTGTTTTCTGTACTATATCAAATTAGGCTTCATGATCACTTCTATCGACTATATATGCTAGAACTAATATGAAGACATCACCACAGGTGCACTTTCAAAGATCATCTTCAGAAGCTTGAGCACAACGATGATAGTGAAGAGCACACTGATAAGAACCTTCTGATAGCCCAGAGCCTCGCGTCAAAAATACTCAGCAATGCCAACTTCCACTTGGTTTCAATGGATATGCCAGTGACCTTCAGCATTGAGGATGCTTCTGGCTTATGCTGGCGATTCAGCAGTGAGATCCTGAGCACTTCAAACCCTTGCCTAATTACCATCCTCGCGGAAGGGCATATCTCGGAACCACTTGACCTCACTGCTAAGGTGAACTCTGAAGATACAGCGTTTGGCCTAAACCTCCTAAACAGAGTTGTAGCAATCATAGAATGAAGCTTTACGTTTTAACACCTGTGCATTTAGTCTTAAATGTCACTTTGTGGATACTGTAAATTGTTGTACATTATTTGCAAGCTATGAAGGTTTTATAGTAAAGGTATCCAGCAAATGAATTGAAATGTTATACGATATCTTCCATTTTGAGCTTCCTAAAACTAAGCCGTATGGGAATTCCCCTATCTTGTGGGCACAAGCCGTATGGATATCCAGGAAGAGTCGTTTTACAGAACGTCAGGCAGATTCCATACTCTATGCAATATGCATGCTCTATTGCTCTATATAACTCTATACTAGCCTCATGTGGCACTAAATACATCTATAAACTTGAAAATTCAATACGTCGGGAGTCTTGAATGCCGAAGACAAATTTACGACAATATCAGCTTTACAATTTGATTGGACTGACGATCAGCACTGTGTGGCCATGAACTCAATTCTTCTCATCAAGCTGTGTGGAAATTTTCGCATCTGGTGATATTCAGGAAGAGCCATTTTTCACAACGTCAGGCAGATTACATACCTAAGCAATGTGCATAATGATTCTATAGCACCCGTATGTGGCACTAAATATATATCTACTTATAACAACTCTTGAAAATTCAAATACATCAGGAAATGCCGAAAACAACTACGAGTACAATATCAGCTTTCAGTGTGATGGACTGATAATCTGCAATCATTGTGCATGGCCATCATGAACTCAGTCTTCTCATCAAGCTGGTACGAGGTTGGGCTCTGATGAAGGTGATGATTCAAGCAGTGGATTCTTCTGGAACTCATTCCTTAGTTGTCCGCAAGCGGCATTAGCATCAAGCCCACGGGTTTGTCGAACGCTTACGGTTATCTTCCGAGCTTCTAGCGCATCAACAAACGCTTGAACCTGTCCATATCAGGTATCATATGCATAAAATACAGCAGCTCAAATTGAACAACTCCTTACTAATGCATATATAAGCGATACAAGCATACCACTTTTCTGTAGGGCCTCTTGTATTCAGAACCTTGAATCGGATTATAAGGAATTAGGTTCACATGATAACCACCGCCACATGTATGCAGTAGCTCTGCAAGTTCTTCAGCATGCTCCTTTGCGTCATTAATCCCAGCTGGAGGGAATTCAGTTCAGGCGCGTTAGTTTGGTAAAGCAGCTTTAGCATTATTCCTCTTAAGCACATGGATCCAGGCATAGTGAGCATACCTAGCAGAGTGTACTCGAAGGATACCCTTCGTCCAGTTTCGAGGAAGTAATTCTTGCAGTCATCCATTAGTGCCTCCAAGGGATATGACTTTGCACTTGGAACAATTGTTTCCCGTAGTTTCTGATTTGGGGCGTGCAGGCTGATTCCAACATAGCAGACCAGTCAGCAAACAGATTACAAAAACAATGCTACCCACGGTTAAAATATCAGTGTCAACGATGATTAGCTTCAGAGTTTAGACATTGTGAAAAGGGCAAGTATTTCAAGAAAAAAACCGATAGACAACACAGGTTTTGTAAGGAGGAACAAAATGAGAACATTATTAAATCTTGGTGTGAAGACAGGTGTTCTTTTTTCTTTTTCTTTTTTTTTTTTGGGGGGGGGGGGTGTACCTGACTGCAAGTGTTGACTGAAGCTTGTGAGATGCTAACTTTTTTATAGTGCTGGGAACACCTACTGTGGAGATTGTTATCATCCTTTGCCCAATTTTTAGTTCCTGCCAAAAAAAAAATCAAAGTTGAAAGGCATACAAATTATTGTATGATACAATGACAATGATTCACAAAAACTACTTGAGCAAAAGGAACTAAGAAAAAAATTCAGTTTGGCAAACCTTGTTCAAGCATCGATGTGCCTCTAAAACTGATTTCAGGTTCAACATAGGCTCACCCATCCCCATGAACACTACATTTGTCACCCTGTGTTGGAACGTCTCCTCTATGGCCAAAACCTGCAACGCCAGAATATTAATCTGTTGTGCAAGAACAAGCACAATTTATCTTTTTTGTACATAAACGCTGTACTAGGTGGGTTGTGGAGAGACAACCTGCTCAACAATCTCATGTGCATGAAGGTTTCTTGCAAACCCTCCCTTGCCAGTGGCACAAAATGAGCAACGCAAGGGGCAGCCAACCTGCAGCACTAGTATCAAACTGTAAAACAAGCATGCGCTCTGACTATGGTAATGTCCAAAATCCGAGGTATGAATTTCACAGCACCTGTGATGAAACGCAGGCAGTGAGTCTTGACGGGCCTTTGTCATCATCGACAGGGATCCCTACTGTTTCGATCAATCTGTTATCCTCCAACTTGAGAAGTATCTGCAAGGATAAAGGGAGATCTAGTTTATAGCCCTCAAATTTTGCAAGGGAAGATGCGCACGTGTACAATAGCAACCATGTACGCTCGATGATAGTTTTTGCACTGGTTACAGGATTATAAAATCCTAATTTCCAATTCATAGGATCAAAAAAGTATGCCAAGTGAGCACACAAGGCTAGATGTACTTGTCTCAAAGATATCTTGGAGTCACGACACAAGGAGGCTTTTAACCTTGGTAGTGCCATCGGAGGCCGTCACAGCATGGTGCACTGGCGAGCGGCCAACCTTCCAGCCAGCGCCGACCAAGGCCTCACGGAACACCTTTGGTACTGCACATACAAGCGAGTCAAGAACCTGACGGCTCGGAGCAAAACAACAAACAGGTGGCGTGCATTGTCCCCGGCAGGAGCTTTAGCACATTACCGTGGCTAAATTCTTGGATTTGCTTGGCCCTGGACTTGTAGAGGAGGTCGTGAAGCTGCTTCCCCCTGTAACTTTGCTGCAAAAAACGCGTGCAACAGTAAGGCGCAGGACAAACAATCGAAGAAGCGGGATAGGGCAAGGAAGCATGGGAAAGAACCTGGCCGAGGTCGACGGCGAGCTGCCGGAGATCCGGTTCGGAGAGGCCGAGGAGCGCGCGTTCGGGAGAGCTCGCAGACGCGGCGGCGGCGGCGACGCGAGTTCGGAGCGCGCGCGCGAGCGGGGCGGCACGCACATGCACTTGCTGCGGCGCGGCCATTCTCATCGCCTCCTCTCATCCACTTCTGTTTCCTTCCATATATCGCCTTATTATTATTTCTTTCCTGGGCCGATTTGCTTCTCTTCACGGCTCGGCCCGGCCCGGCCCATCTTGTGGAGATGTTTCTTTTCTTTGGGATAAGTTCACTCGCTGTCCCTCAATATTACGTCGAGTTTGTTTCACATCCCTTATTTCCAAAAAAAAAAACCAACCTAGAAAGACCCCTTAGGTTTTTTTTTTTTACGGAGTGAGTATCATTATATTTTTAGTTGGAACAATTTTTTTTTCATATATGAAACACTATGTTGTAGTTGGTGATACATAAAAAAAATATTTACTGAAATATTAGAAAACACCACGTGCGATATTTTGGATAAGTTCATTTTATACCCCCCCCCCTATATCTTAACTTTGCCTAAAATACACCCTCAAATTATAAAACCGGATATTTTATACCCTTAACTATACATTTTATCCCCTTGAGTGGTTTTGTGCACGCGTGGAAGTCACAGAGCATGCCACCTGTACAAATGCTACATGTCAGGCCTATGGTTAGTTATAGGAGGCGTCAGTGCAGGTGCGGCTCAAGGAAGGAGCAGCGGAAAGACGGCGACAACAGAGCAGCAGCGAGTGGCTGCGGTGAGAGTCGGCTCAAGGTGATGAGAGGAGGTGGCAGCGCGGGACAAAGCAACGCGTGAGCACCTACGGTTCGCGTCGGCACAGGAATGAGCACAACCTTGGCCCTGGTGCGTGGATCGGCTACAACGAGGACGGCGTCAGTGAATCCGGCCATAAAGAACACGGAGAGCTCACCTACTGTCCATACACGCTACTGCATCCACTACTACTAGGGTCTTCTTCTCCCATGACCATGATGCAAGTGCTAGCTTAGAACAAAAGGAGTAATCACAAATCAATAATGGATGGAGCTAGCAGGATATACAGTATAGGTGAGTTATTAATTGAGAGGTGAGTTATATCCAGTTTAAAATTTAAAGGTGAATTTTAGACAAATGCAATAGTTGAGGGGGCTAGTATGGACATCCCTATTTACAAATGGAAACCCATCTCCCCGCACGGAAAACGGAGCGATCTATTAGCATGTGATTAATTAAGTATTAGTTTTTTTTCAAAAATGGATTAATTTGAATTTTTTAAGCAACTTTCGTATAGATTTTTTTTTAAAAAAATACACCATTTAGCAGTTTGAAAAGCGTGCGTGCGGAAAACGAGGGAGGGATAGGGGTCGGGAATGAGTTCCGAACACACCGTGCAACACTAAAATGCCACACGACCACGCCTACGTGTATGTATTCGAGATATTGGGCGAGTGCGAAGGACAAGGAACTTATATCTCGACAAGAGACCACGGCAATTGGAGATTTTTGATCGAGATATTGAATGAATCCGCTATGGATTTGAGTAGCCAAGTCCACTAAATTTTGCCGTCAATTTCTGTTTTATTCAAGGTACATATATATAATTGGTGTAGTACGTTAAAAAAAATGAAAAAAAGAACTGTACAAGTTGTTGCAAAAGGGAGAAAGGAAGGAAGGAAGGAAGGAGAAGAGTCGGTCGGATTTGCAGCGGCCAACATGAATGAAGAAGCTTAATCAAGCAATCAATCTGCATGCCTCTTGATTTACAAGTCACTCATCATCAAGGAATATAATAATCTACTAATTAACACGCCGTCGCCATATGTGTCACTCAGGCAGGCAGAGGCGACGCCGACAGCCGCCTCGGACGAGCACCAGCACCAGCAGACGACCTGCCGCTGGCGTTGAAGCCACGGCCGCCGAGCAACATCCTGCTCTGCGGCGACCGATGATGATGAGACGTGGTCGTCGTCTCCTGAAGCTGCTCCAGCGCGGCGACCACCTGGTGCATGGTGGGCCGGTTCTTGGCGTCGGCGGAGAGGCACTGCAGCGCCAGCGCCGCCGCTTTGTGGGCTCCGGCGAGCGAGTACTGGCCGGCGAGGCGGGCGTCCAGGATGCGGAAGATCCGGCGCCTGCTGCTGAGGTAGGGCCGAGCCCACTCCACCAGGTTGTGCTCGCCGGCGGGGCGGTTCTTGTCCAGCGCGCGCCGCCCCGACAGCATCTCCACCATCACCACCCCGAAGCTGTACACGTCGCTCTTCGCACTCAGATGCCCTGCACCATCCAACATTCAGATGCATCATCATTAGCTGAGCTACGTTTCTGTTTAGATGCTGTATGCATTACAGATTAACCGACACCTACCTAGTGGGCTTAATACTATTAGAGTACAGCTCATCTGAGACTACAGGTCTTTCTCGGCATTCTTAATTTCTTAGTATATAGTATATATCTAGGTAGTAGTACTGTAGTACGTACAAGATTGTGCAGCATTTTTTATTTCTGTGGATATATGATCGAGTGAGTAATTAACTAAAGAAAGTGTAATTAATTTGGTTTAGCACATGTGCTCAAGGGGTCCAGTCCACATTTAAGCAAAGCCAGTTAGGCCGGTCTGAAACCATGACAAAAAAATTGGACAGACTTGTCTGCACCTAACTACTCTATATATGACTTCAGCTTTCAACAGGAGAGGATGAGTATTCTTTACTACTTCGTCTAGTGCTTCAGGACGAGCACAAGCTGCCAAGCAGACCAGCTTTCATTATAACCTTTTAATCCTTACACATACCTACTGCATCTGCATACATAAGACTGTCTCCAACAAGTGACCCATAAGAGCACCTAAATCCAAAATGGGTCTTCGATAGTACTATTTTAGCCTCCAACAGAGTACCTATACAGAAGACTCATTTTGCGTGCTATAAGAAGCATAACCTAAATCTGAGTATCCTCTCTCTTGAAGACCTATTTATAGGAAGGGTTCTCTTTTAGGTCTTATTGTTAGAGAAGATCAAAAATAGGTATTGAACTATTTGACTTTAGCGCTATGCAAATATGAAATGGGTCCTGTATTTTGGGTTTGATTGTTGGAGATAGCCTAACAACAACAGCTAGCAACCCTGGCAAATGCAGAGATTGTCTTGCTAAAATGCATCTGACCTTTCATTATCATTACATATATAAAGTCTGATCTTTAACATATACTTCTACTAGTAACAACTGAAATTCTATAAATAGTTGTAGGAAAAGGTTTGAGCAAAACAAGAATCAAATTGAAAATTTGCAGCGCAGGTCTGAATGCTTACCTGTCGCAAGATATTCAGGAGCAGCATATCCGTATGTGCCCATAACTCTTGTTGAGACATGGCTCTTGTCACCAGTTGGCCCATCCTTTGCCAACCCGAAATCAGACAGCTTTGCATTGTAGTTCTGTCAGTGACGAACAAGAGAGTAGAGTTGAGGCACCGAATCGAATTATCATATATTGATCAGCAATTTAACAACTGACAATTAATTAATGCTTGTGAGATGAGGATAAAACGACGAACGTATATTGATAGTAGCGTACCGAATCGAGAAGAACATTGGAAGTCTTGAAATCACGGTAGATAACTTTGGCCTTGTCGCTGTGGAGAAAGGCAAGTCCCTTTGCTGCTCCAAGGGCAACTTTCATTCGAAGATTCCAGGAGAGAGGCTGAAAATGTGAGCCCCCTGCATTGTGCAAGGCCGTCCAAAACTTGTCAACACCACCATCCGTTTCAGACTTCTCGGTTGAGAAAAATCAAAATCATCCCGAATATATATACTAGTAATAATAAATTAAAAGAAAAAGAAAAGGGCAGTTGAGAGGAGGCGCGGCTTACTCCTGAAAAGATGATTCTCCAAGCTTCCCCGAGGCATGAACTCGTAGACAAGAAGCCTCTGCTCATCTTGAAGGCAGTAGCCTACAAGCTTTACAAGATTTGGGTGTGACAGTTGCCCAAGGTAGTTCACTTCGGCCTGCAAATTAAAATGCAAGTTATTATATACTACAGTAGTATATCAATCAAGAGTTATGCAGAAAGAAAGAAAATCCATACCAGCCATTCCCTGTGGCCCTGGAAGCCGTCCTGGTTGAGCTTCTTGACGGCGATGACCATGCCGGTGCCGGGCCTGCTGGGGAGGAAGGTGTTCTCGTCCACCCAACCCTTGAAGACGGAGCCGAAGCCTCCCTCGCCGAGCACGCTGTCGGGCCGGAAGTTCCTCGTCGCCGTCTTGAGCTCGTTGAACGCGAAGCTCCTCACGTTGGCACACCGCAGGATCTCGCCCTCGCTCCGTGGGGTCACCGCCGCCACCGACGACGACACCCGGCTGCTCAGCCCCGTCCCCTTCCTCCTGCTTCCTGATCTTCTTCTTCTTGAACCTGACCACCAATTAATGAGCTCATATCATACGCATGCATTGTCAATTTACCAACCAGTTAACGCCACCGCACAATGCAGAAGCCTCATCTATATAACAACTTCTTTCTCAGATTGATTGAGATGACCATAATATTTAGTTACAAAAGTGAATGATTTCATACTATACTAGTCCATCAAGGATTAGTACAAGATGATATACTACTAGTATGTGCAGGCGTCGTCCTGTCTCTGTCTGAAACCGATCGCTTATTTCAGTTCAACTGGAACTGGAAACGGCATGATCTACCTAACCTACTAGGATCGATTTCAACAAACTCAAGCAATTAGGAATGATCAACAAATTGCAGGCAGGCACAAACGAACATCTCCATTCCTAATCATACATGCCTCACTACTCAGCGGTTACTTTTTTACTTGAATCAAGAATCTATCTACTCCTAGTACGTCCTATGCAGCTAGCTAGATGGTGAAATATATACGAGAGCGAATTGAAGAAGCTAGATTACCAGATGCGTTCCGGGAGATGGCGTCGGAGCTAATCTTGGTTCCGCAGCAGTTGCCCATGGCACGCAGGGGATGGAGAGCGAGCTCGCTGCTCTGATGCAGGGAAGGAATAGGATGCAAGGGAAGGGCAGCTAGTTATAAATAAAGGTGAGAGCTTTGCTTTACAATAAAATTAAGATCTCTACAGCTAGTAATAAGGCAGGTCTGAACAATGGATCACGGGATATATGAGGGTTGAGCTTGATTGTGTGCTACTGCTACTGTTAGCTGCCTCTTAATTCCTGCCTGCTAATTAAATCAAAGGTTGACCTTCTGGCCCCCTCTCTCTCACGCCCACTTGTGATTAGGATTATTGTGGGTGATGGATGGATCAAGACTCAAGAGAAGAGATCATCAAAGTCCTGGATGGGGATGGAAGATTTCAGACCTTGAAGCTATAAAGGAGCAGCCTCTGTTTCCTTTATTTATAGGACGGACCCCTTTGCCTTGCCTGACGCTCAGCCAGTTGTTAGCCGAGGTGTCGTGCGGTGTGGGGATTTGTGCCATCCGTTGGATCAACATCGAATGGTCAACACATTGCCTTAATTTTTTCAGCTCCTAGAAATTAAAAACGAAAAAAAAAACAGTTCAGTACATCACAGTAAAACTTGATCTATGGAGAACAGTTCACATTGGCTTAATCTATGAAAATTTAAACTTAGAATATTATGGTGCTACTCAAGTCACTATAATTATTAGTGTTGTATGGGCTTCACATGGAGTAACAGTAATAGCAATAAGTATAGTAGTATACTTTTTTCCTATTCTTGAGAAGGTACTATGAGGTACCAGGTACCAATTAAATCTGACCGTTGGTTTAGGAGGGGTAGGATCGGGCTAAAAAATCCATCGGTGAGGAACGACACCGTCGCTGCGGGAGACCGAAAGGTAGGTGAGGCCGTCAGATGTCGTCGCTGCGTAGTTCTTAATCCTCCTGCTTTCCGTCCCTTGCGAGCTCTCACCGCCATCCCAACTCGTGTGTCCTTGCCGTCGCATCCACGCCGCAGCGGCCGCCATCGCATCGACGCCCTCACCGAGGCCACCGTCGCATCCTCGCCTGTTGAGCGAATTGTCTCAGTGTGTTGTCGTCGCGCCGCCGCTGCTAGTACGGGTCGTCTTGAATCACCAGATTGGCTTCGTGGATTCTACTTTGACGAACGCGTTTGGTTGCCGTGGAATCGAGCATATAGGCAGTAAGAAGGAAAGTTGCGTGTCCTTCGAGGTGTTTTCCCAGGGGAAGCTGCTCCCTCTCTGCCCCTCGTCGACGGCGGCTGGCGATGCGGCCGGACTTGTACTTCTGGCACGGTCGGAGTTGGCGGCGTCCACCGTGGGTTCCAAATCCATCCCTAACGGCGATAGTCGACAATGCAGCAGACGGCACTGATGCTGCCTGGCGGCAATGGATTTGGGTCCACGATGCTCACCAGTTGCGGCCAGCGAACGAAAACTATGGCGAGCTCGCATTGGATTTTAGCCCTTCTTCCCAAAGGGCTGCAAATCAAAGCACCGCAAACGGATGAGCTCGGACGTGGAAGTACTAGTTTACCCTCCCACTCGCGGTACCTCCTCAATCGGGGCTTGCGGTACCATGCAGTACGGACCAATCGCAGCCGTTCGATGTCGCTAGATCGACGGCTACGATTTGGTACCGCTTATTGTCAAGGACAATAAAAAAACTCTGTAAATAAAACAATCCTGGCTTAGGATTGATTTTTTTTAAAGCGGAGAGAGTACAATTCATTCTAATAATAATAATAATAATAAGTATAGTAGCATACGATTCATTCTCAACCAGAGTAGGCTGACTTGACTTGACAGGCAGCAAATGCATCGATCCATGCAGATGCATGCATGCATTGATATATCAATCCCGTCGGCCAAACTACAGTACTATCTCTTTGCATCATGCTAGAATATGATGTGATACTCCTACGATATATATCTCCATTTATACATATCTGTCTTTTAGTTGCAAGCTAATCGCTAGAAATATGTACGTTAGTTAGTAGTAAATAATAAATTGTGTTAATTAAACCGGGTTAGTAGTAGTAGGCTGCATGCAGATCCAAACTATATTACTATATAGGAGTATATGTATCTACCTGTGAAGTTGTGATTGATGTGTAAGTGTAACAACTACTAGCTACCTCGAGGTAGGATCGGCAAGCTTTGTATTGCAAAGGCAATAGCTAGAGATACGTTACTTAATTACATCTCAAGAGCCTGTGCCTGCATGCTGTTCGTTCCGCCTACCTTAATTAGCTAGCTAGCTACTGTATGTATAGCAAATAAATCAGGAATTAAGCATATATACGTGTACTCTAATATACTCGTACTTAATTAATTAGTGCCAGCTGAGAGATGCCACCAGCCCCGTGACCCTTCCTTTGACTTATTGGACGTACCTAGCTGATCAGTATGTATAGTCCACTTGTTTGACTCCATCGACATGCATCTACCACTATTATATTGCACCGCACATAACAGCTTCGCACCACAATTATCCATCGATCCACGTCCAGTTGACTAGTTCCTCCGTCTCATATTATAAAACTTTCTATCATTATCCACACATACACACATATATATATATATATATGTATATGTATTTATACATATATATGTTATGCAAATGCATATGTATATAGATATATATATGAACAAAATATATTTACATTATAGAAAATGTGTATACATGCATATAGAAACATATGTAGTCATGTATTAATTACAATCCATTATATGTCCTAGCTAGCTACGATTTCGAAGTAGTAGTACTCGCTGCTAGCTCAGAAGCTAAGGACCGGTGAATTGTGTTTCCGTCGTAGTAGAATTCACCCTTGGGATCAAGGATTTCTTCGTTGATGAATCCCATGAGTTGTTCTTGAACCGCCGCGATAAATTCCTTGTGTGTGGTCAGGTTATCCCTCATGCGAATAAACTATATGAATGTATGAAATTGATTAGTAATTAAACAAGAAATCGCTACGTAATGAAATTTTGAATTTATTTGTACGTACATCGAGCTCTCTTGTGGTGATGATTTGGTTTGCAAGGCAGTGGCAATACTCGCACACGTAATAGCCGCACAAGTTAGTTCCCTGCTTTTGCTTTGCGCACTACAAATAAATGACAAACAACGAGAGATCTAATTAATATACACTTGTATGTATTTGAATCGGAGAAATATAAATGTAGAGCATGTGTACTCACAGGAAATTTGAACTTCCGCCTAAGTCTTTCTCTCCATTTGCCGCGGACCAAATGACGGAACCGATACCAAGCCCTACATGGAGTTTAAAGCTATGATTCGTAGTAGCAATTAACATAACAAGATTTTCTTAATTAACAAAGGAACTTATGACGGTACCTGTCTATAAGTTCGAAAACCTTGTCAAACGTAGACTCTTTTTTATCCATTGAGTCATATACGTTGACGGTGCAGGCCTCCAGGTCGATGAGTAAAAGCACCCAGTGGAATCTGCAATGTGCGTGGGATGCATTACATATGAAACACTTAGCAAGTTCGTACGGGAATGAAATTTGGTATGTAGGAAGACAGTAAAATTAAACTAACTCTGTGTTGTATGGCAACAGTATGAACGTCTTGTAATGCTGCGCCTTCAGGAGATGGACGAGATTGTCCTCTGTTTCTTGTGGATATTGGTCGAGCATTGCGACGTTTACTTTCCGAGGGTCGATGAATCCAGTATCGAAAACCCTCCGCCGTCGGGCCCTTTGAATCTCCATTCTACAACGATAAAAGGGAGTATATTATTTTCTATGGTCTACTTATATACAAGGACCTAATTAATTAAAGGAGACGTATAGTAAGAAATCTAACTGAACGATATACTTACAAAATCCAGCAACTCATAATAGAGACGTCGAGGGCGTCTAGCTGGTATAGTTCGTAGATTCCCCTGAAATTGATCCAGAGAATGTCATCTCCTTGCAAGAAGTCCGTGTCCCTGATCCTCGCTCTGATCATCTCTCTACCGGTGGCGCTCATCTCCATGTACAGCTGATGGAACTTGTACATTTGTGTGGGTAGGGACTGCAGCAGCTCAGGCTTGACAAGCGGTTTACCGAGTTCGTACATGTATTTCACTTCCGCCTTTTCGATTGGTGCGACTCCTAGCAATTGATCCGTAGTTAGACCGGTGTCAGTAATAAATTGTTCTATCGTCATTTCTTTACCGGTCACCAACGGCTCGATCTCCTGGTTTGGTTGCTCTCCAAGCTGAGGGACTGGTTTGGACTTTCCAGAAGATGCTTTCTTCAGCGTTCGCTCATAGTCCGATAGCTTGATGGCCTCCTTGACAGATGCAGACATACCCCTGAAGAAGTTCCTGACACTGGGGTCTATAGGAATCTTCTTTTCTGGACTTCGAGGCTTGAATTGTCTCTTGACTTCTGATGCAACGTAAGCGTCAAGCTCCTCTTGCGTGCAATCGTACCCCGGGTCCTTGTTCTTGGCGGCGTCAACTTTCGCCTTCTTTGTTGCCCTTGTGTGGGCAAGCGGTGGAGCTGGGGGGGCCCTTGACTTTGAAGGTGCCGGAAGAGGAGCTTGCGGGGGAGTAGGTGTAGGAGCACGAGGAGGAGTCGGTGCAGGATCCTGAGGAGTCGATGCTGGAGCCTGAGGTGGAGACGGTGCTGGCGGAGCATGAGGAGGAGACGGTGCAGGATCCTGAGGAGGAGATGGCGGAGCCGGAGGAGATGGTGCACGAGACGCCGCTTGTCGCCCAGGGAGGATGATGTACCGCCTGCGCCATAGAATAATGGCATGGCATGTGTCTCGTAGATGCGTCTCACCGTCTCCTCCAGGGTAATCCAGCTCGAGGTCCTCGTACGCGCCTTTGACCAACTCAACTTCGACCTTGGAGTATCCTGCTGGAATCGGCCTGCAGTGGTAAGTACCTGAAGGGTCCGTTGGGATGGCCATGCCCGACGCCACCTTCATGTTGTGAGAGATTATTTATTAGTAATCAACATATATAAGCAGCAACTAGCAGAATGGCTAAATCTTACCTTTATTGATAAGTTCTTGAAAGGAATATGCAGCTCACATGGTGTCCGCTGAGTGATGTCATCAACGGGACAGGTCGATTCGTCCTGTGTTTGCATGGCGTCCATGCTCTGTGATCCTACCTGCCCCGTTGAGGCGCAGCTGCTACGGTTTCCTGACGGGCTCACCATTGCAGGAGGAATGGTCAGCTGGGGATCATGGGACCGATGTGCGGCCATGCGTTCATCAACCTTCCTTGCCACCTCCTCTTGCATGTTGAGTTCGTAGCTCGATACTCGGAACTCTAGGTCTGCAATCTTCGCCTCGGTATCTCTCTTGCTCCTCATCCGACTCCTGTACGTGTGGATGTCCTCCTTGAAACCAATCTTCCAAGGA